ACTTCACTCAGCTGCACCCACAGTCCCTCACGCAAACAGATCCTGCTTTTCCTTCCTGGGCCTCCCCATTGCTTCTTGGGATAAATGCTGGGCTTGCCGTGGCCTGCAAGGCCCCCGCGTGGCTGCCCCTGCTCCCCTCCAGCTTCATCCTGTCCCTGCCTTCCCCGTCCCTCTGGCTTCCCTCCACAGTGCCCCCTCAGTTTGCAGGCCCAGTCTGGTGGGAGAGATTTTGCACCTGCTCTTTCCTCTCTGGAATGTGCTTTTCTTTTTCCCCTGTTCTCCATTGGCTGGTTGCCCAGCCGATGTGTTTGCAGCCTTCAGATCTCAGCCTGAGGGGACGCTTCCTCAGGGACGCTTGCCTGGGCTCCCTGTCACGTGCCAAGTCTGGGCCAGACCTTTGTATTTCTAAGTTTTAGCTCAGATATGACGACACATTCACTAGGGGCATAGGCCAGGCAGTGGATTTCGCTCACTGTTTTATCTTAAGCCCAGCACCTGATCCCAGGAGCTTCTCCAGTCCCTGACACCATTTCTGTGCTGGTCCCTGGGCTGGGGGCCCCAAGTTGAGTGAGACTTTTCCCTGCCCTGGATGGGTTGGGTTGGGCTTCTGGTGGTAGAGGAGAGGAGGGCTCTCCCTGAGCTGTGTCCTCACCAGTGTGTTGGACCTCCTGTGTGCCCCAGCTTTGACAGTGAGAAGGCCGGGGACCGGGAGGTGCAGAGGACGATGCTGGAGCTTCTGAACCAGCTGGACGGGTTCCAGCCGAACACCCAAGTGAAGGTGAGTATTGTCACTTCACAGGTGAAGAACGTGGGGCTTAGAGGTCAGGGGATCTTCTCTGTCGTCTAGCTGATGGAGCTAGAATTAGAATTGGGGTCGGTGTTGAATATTCCCTGCCGTTTCATATGGACCCTGAGCTACCTCTTTGCCCGTCGTGGCCATGACTGTTGCCTGTCTGTGAACCCTTCAAGTTTCTGCTTCTCCTGTTGCTCAGGTAATTGCAGCCACTAACAGGGTGGACATCCTGGACCCTGCCCTGCTCCGCTCAGGCCGCCTGGACCGCAAGATCGAGTTCCCGATGCCCAACGAGGAGGCCCGGGCCAGAATCATGCAGATCCACTCCCGAAAGATGAATGTCAGGTGGGCAAAGACACGAGCAAGGCGCTGAGACCTGAAGGGGCAGCAGCAGAGCTGTCTCTGTCCTCTTTGTACTGACCTTCCCCAGGCCTAGCTTCTCCCCCTCTCCATGTCCCTTTCACACCGAGCACTGTTCCACACGCTGGCCTCCATTTCTCCCCAGGTGCCCGACAGAGAATCGTGCTGGGGCCCAGGCCCCAACTGAAGGTGCTCTGCTCCTTCGGGCCCACCTGCACACCCCCCCACACAGCCCTCCCCCATGGTCGGAAGGTGTGCAGGCTGGAGGCCCTGTTTCCTGGCCACCCCTGCCCCAGCAGATGAACGCAGCCCAGCATGGCCCAGGGCAGTCCTGCCAGGGGCCAGGTGGACCTGGGTTCAGATCTGTGTGACCATCAGCAGGTGGCGTGACCTCTCTAAGCCTCAGTTTTCTTATCTGGGACTTGGGGATAAGGGCTCCGACCTCACGGGGTTGCAGCAATGTCAAGTGCAGTACTTGCGCATGAGATCAGTAAGTGGCAGCAGCAGTGCTGTGCTGATGCAGGGCCCGCGCTGCTGGGGAGACAGAGAGATGGCTCTTCTGTCTCCACAACCTCCTGTTCCCCTGCCTCAGGCTGAATTCCCGAGTCTCAGGTGCAGGCTTCTAGAATGCTAGCGCCCATGAGACACTAGGAGTAGCTTGGTCTAATCTGCTTTGACCTACCTGCGTTCCTCTCCCCCCTGTGTGGAGAAGAGAACAAGGCACAGTGGGGAAGGGAGTCGCCCGTGATGGCGGCGAGTTGACCTCGCTGCTTGACGGAGGCACGTGGGAGGACGTGGGCTCCCCCACCCACTCCCGTAAGTGGCTGAACCCTGTGATACCTCCCCATCTCCCAGCCCTGACGTGAACTACGAGGAGCTGGCCCGCTGTACAGACGACTTCAACGGGGCCCAGTGCAAGGCCGTGTGTGTGGAGGCGGTGAGTGGTGGGCCGAGCGGCTGGGCGCTTTGTGCCTCCTCCCCTGGGCAGGCTGCTGGGGGCTGCTGAGGGGAAGAGGCTGAGAAGGTGGAGGCCTCTGGGAGCCGGGCTGGGGGTCTGGGGAGGCACCCTAGAGCCTGTCTGTGCTGGCTGCAGGGCATGATCGCGCTGCGCAGGGGCGCCACAGAGCTCACCCACGAGGACTACATGGAGGGCATCCTGGAGGTACAGGCCAAGAAGAAAGCCAACCTGCAGTACTACGCCTAAGGGGTCGCCTGCCACACCTGTTCTCTGGCCTCTTGCTGGTTAAAATTCGTAATAAAGGATGGTTTCAGGTTCCTGCCACCACCTGTCTGGCTCGCCTTCCCTGGGCTCTGGGTAGAGGAGTGGGGGCAGATTCAGGAGGCCCCTTCCCCAGGTGCTCCTACCCGAGACAGCCGAGGGCCTCAAACGCCTTGTCGGGGTGAGGCCCTCTTGGAGGGGTGGGCGTGTGCCACAGCTGTTCCCCGGGGTCTTCTGCCTCCCCCATCATGTCCCTCCAGACCGCTCTTTCCACACTCCCTGACCCGCCTCTCTGAGCTTTTGAGGCCTGTGGTGCTGCCCCCCCTCTAGTATGAGGGGCCTGAAGGGAAGCCAGACTAGTTTTTCCTTCTTTTTTGAATTTCGGTGCTCTGGCCCTAGGCCTCGCTTCCTTATAAAGCCCTGGCTCTGGGTCTTTGCTCCCTTGTTTCCTGGCCCCCAAGCCTCCTGTTTCTCTACACGTTCCTTTTAGCTGTTGGCCCGTTTCCTCTGGCTGAAAAATCAATGTTGAGCAGGATCTACTCCGAGAGCCCTTCTAGGCCTAAGCGTGGTCATGCTGTGTTCTCTCCCACCCCGAGTTCTGCCGTCAGCCCCACATCCCGTCAGTTTCCTTTACCATCTTGGTGGTCCTCTTCTGTCTACCAGCCTTCCAGCTCCCCGACCTGGAACCTGACCTCGTGGTTCACCGTTCACTGAGCGCTCACCCTGAGCCACATGCTATGCAGGTCGTGTGCATGGTTTTATCTAGTTAATCACAGCAACTACCAATAGGGTAGCCCCGCTTTAGAGATGCATTTCGAGCAACTGGGCCAGGATTGCACAACTCTTAGATGGCATAGCTAGGCTTCAAACCCAGGACTAAGAATAAAGCCTGGTTTATGTTGTGCTGTCTTAGCAGCTTTAACCACCCCCTGAATGGCCTTTCAAAGCAGCAGCCCTTTAGAACTCTCCATCAGCTCTCACTTGCCCCCTGGCAGAAGCCCTTTACCCTCCTTTTCCCATTACCTCCCCTGAAGGGACATGCCCACAGTCACAGAGCTACTGACTGCCGGCCTGTCTGGAGTTCCCCTCTCTCTAGTCCCACCGCCTCCAAGCCGCCATCCTGAGTGTCAGGGTGCACCCCCATTGCGCTCTCCTTGGTGATCCCACTGACTTCCCATCCCCCGGAGAAGCCCCAGCACAGCCTCGGAAGTGCTCTTGTTCTGGCCCTGTCCTGGACTTAGCTGCCCCCGCTCCTGCATCTCTCACCCCGACCCCCCGCGCCCACCTGCGTGAAGCTGCGAGCACCACCCTCACCCCTGACCTTGGGGTCCTCATTTATAAATGGGGCCCCACTGCCTCCTTCAGCGGGCAGAGTGCCATGACTGCACGTGCAACTGTCACCCAACACACGAGGAGCCCCAGGGCCTGCTCAGGGGAGGCAGGGACTGCCAGGACAGCCCTGGGTTCCTTCCTCGCTTCTGTCAGGCCACCAGGTCCTGGGCGTGTCACAATCAGGTGAAGCAGAGCCCTTTTTGCTGAAAATACTGAGTCAGGCACTCCCAGCTGAGGATACAGCCCATCTGGGCTTCACAGCCTCCGTGATGTGGCGCAGACACGCTGTCCGCCAACAGCCTGCTGAAGGTAGGAGAGGAAGTGGGACTCCACTTCCCCCTTCTGCTCTCTCCTAGCAGCACTGGGGAAGCAGCTCCCCCTGGGCCTGATGCTGTCTTCATTCTCAGCATATTCACTGGCGGTGAGGGTATGGTTTAGAATAAAGATCTCATTTTTCCTTTTTCTTTCTTTTTAATGAAAAATAACTTATTTCATAGAGGCCAAACCTGGAGATGACTTTGTGGATGGAGCTCCCTTCCGCGGTTAAAATTACTCAGGGGGCAGGCCAGGAAAGAGCCCTTGGTTCGTAGGTCTATGAGGACACCACCCTTGGGGGTGACGCGGGCTATAATGGCCTAGAGCCAGGCTTGTTTTAGTGGCATAAAAAGCTAACAACAAAATAAACCAGGGAAACATGAAATGTATACCCTGTTGTGAGAAGCACCCCAAAAGTAACAGCTCAGAGACGAAGCAGGAGGCCCAGAGGGCGGGGACGATGATGGAGACCAGCTGGGCGGCCTGCGGGAGCTGGGCCCGCAGAGCAGCCAAACTGGCCGGAGCACGGGGTGGCCGGAAGAGCCCTGCTTGACCATGGGCTCTGGGACGCAGAACAGAGGCAGCCGGTTTGCATCTCATCTCATCTCATTTTATTTGCATCTCATCTATGGAACAGGTATTTACAGATACAAATGGAACCACAGCAAAGCTGCCGTAAAACCATTCAGACCCTCTCGATGGCTACTTCTCAAGACGCCCACGGTTAAGTAGCAGGGCTGGAGCCTGGCTGTGGAGTGGGCCAGCTGAGTACCTGGGCGTCAGCCAAGGGAAATAGCTGGGGATTATGGCTTCAGCATCCCCAGAGCACATTCCTGAGTGCTGACAGTGTGCAGCCCTCGCCACCCCCGCCGAGCCCTGCCCACAGTGGGACAGGAAAAGGGGCCTGCGCCGGGGGCGGGGGCGGGGTGGTGGCAGCCACTGCTCCCTCTTCCTGCCCTCCGAGTGTCTGCCTGGACCCTGTGCTGGCACGAGCACCCCTGAGCCGACTGGGAAGCCTCTGGCCCGGGGCTGCTCGCTGCCCTGCTGGCTGCTGTTTGGCAGCTGGAGGTGGCAGAGCCGCGGGCGTTGCCAGGGAGCATTCCCTGGGGGAACAGAAGCTGGGCCAGGGCAAGCAGCCGCGGGGAAAAGGTCTTAGAAAGCATCTCCTGGCTCCATGCTGGGAGGGGTAGGACTGTCAGTGCTGAGAGGCGCTGGGGGCTACACGAGCACCTGCCTCTCCTTTCTTTGGCCTTGGAGCTGGTGAAGGAAGGGCCAGAACACTGGACACAGCAGAGAGGAGGCACCCCAGCCTCGGTTCCTGGCTGCCCAGGGCTGCGTGCATGTGCAGAGGTTCACTCCCTCAGGCCAGGGACCCATGAGGCCCCAGCAGGAGACAGCTCTGGGGCTCCCTGCAGCCCTGGGCTCCTTGGGCTGCTCCCACTCCTCCTGGCGTCCTGGTGGGCAGAGGCCTCTGCTTGGGACCAGTGTTCCTGTTCCTCACTGCCGACTCCAGGGGGTGCAAGGTGACGGGGGGCCAAGGAGAGAAGACCGCAGTGTGGCTGGGGGCAGGCATGGGCATCGGGCCCTGGGCCCAGCACACAAGGGATCACAGTGTCGGTCTTGCACACGGTCACATGCACACCACACACACACCACACACCCCGTCCTCTTGTCAGTTGGGAGGACTCGCTCGCTCTCTGCCACACACACACACACACACACACACACACACACACACACACACAGTCACAGAGTTGATCTGAGTCTATTATTGCTGTGCAGGGAGTGGGGCGTCAGGGACAGTTACTCGACGAAGACCGAGAACAGCACCATCACCACAATGCCCGTGCAGAGCAGAAGCACTTGCTGCAGAGAGCGCCTGTGGGGAGAGGGGCAGGGGCTCAGGGGGTGGTGCTGGCCGAGATGCCGGGGACAGAGGCCCTGCGAATGGCAGTGCCAGTGGGTAGCTCACCATGGGTCATCTTCCTCCAAGAGGTCGGGCAGCACGTTCACCAGGGCGATGTAGAGAAAGCCGCCAGAGGTGAAGGGCAGGATCCAGGCCACGGTCTCCTCTGCAGCAGGAGAAGCCCTGACTGGCTGGGAGTCCAGGGGAGCCATGTGTACTACACTCCCTCCCGCGGGGTGGATGGGGGGCAGAATCTGGCCTGGACACCAGGGTCAGGGCAGCTGTGCCCTTTGGCTGGGGCCCCTCTGCTGACCGCCACCACCCACCACGCCCGTACCTACTCCCTTGGGGGACTGAGTACAGATGGCGAAGCAGGCGCCCAGCAGGCCCCCCAAGGCCGTCGAGAGCTGCAGCTTGGCTGCGCTCCATCGGTCAAAGCCGGCCCGGAGCAGGATGGCAAAGTCGCTCACCTGAGGGGAGGTCCAGACGATCACTCTGGGCCCCAGTGGGGCCAGATCCCCTGAGCATCTCAGGCACGGACACACACAACGAGCCCCCTGCACCCGCCCTGTAGCTGGGACCACCCCGTGCCCCAGCCCGCATCCCCTCGGCTGGGCCCCCCGTCCCGAGGATGCTGGAGCACAGCTGAAACGGTGGCTGCAGCCTAGTAGCTGAGCAGCTCCAGGCCTCTGTGGTCCAGCCGCCCAAGCCCACCACTGCTGGGTAGTCCCACCCCGAATCCCTGCCCCCAGCTCCACGCCCACATGGCCGATCACGGGAACCCTCTGGCACTCACCTCATGGGGGATCTCATGCAGGAGGATGGCCATGGTGGTCAGGAGCCCGATCTGCAGGGAGGGGAGGAGTCTGTGGGGTCTGTGCCGAGGGCTAGGGCACCCACTTGTCCGCTCATTCTACAAACATTTACTCTGCTCTGGGTGCCCTGGCTGGGTACCATCTGGCTGCTAGAAATATCGCAGCGAATAAAACAGACAAGGAACCTGCCCCCAAGAAGCTAACAGCCTGGAGTGGAGAGGCAAGGATTGAGTAAACAGACAAAGAACCATGTGATTACACACCATGACAGGTGCTATGGGGAAAGGATGGACTGGGTGCCGTGGGACATGATGGGCCTGAGATGAGGGGTCAGCAAAGGCCTCCTTGAGAACGTGCACTTTAAGCTGAAGCCTGAAGGATGAGGAGCTAGCAGTTCAAAGAGTGGAAGAAAGAACATTCTAAGCAGAGGCAACAGTGAGTTGGAGGCTACCAGAGGGGACAGAGGTTGGCCAGTTCAAGAGTAGGCAGACCCTGGGGCCAAAGCGCAGAGGGCAGAGGGAGGAGGAGGTGGGGGGGGGAGAAGCATCTAGAAGCAGGCAGGGGCCAAGCATAGCAGCCTGGCAGAAGCCTGTGATCCCAACAAGGAGTGTTCGCAGCAAGAACAGACCAGTCGGTGGTGGAGACAGAAGGAGGCCGTGTCCAGGAGAGCAGCAGGGAGGCGTAGATGAGGGTGCTGTGATGGAGGGAGCAAGGAGATGCCTGGGGACCTATTCTGGAGGCAGAGCCCACTGGTTAACGCAGGCACCACCCTTCCCAGCAAAGAGCCTGGGTCCCACTGCCCCAGCCCCACTCACCTTCTTGCTCACAAGGAAGCTGGCAGCCACAGCCAGCCCGTGGGTGAAGTTGTCTATGGTGTTGGCCAGCAGGTTGAGATAGCCACTGACCTGGGTGAGGGGAGAGAAAGCTGGGTTGTGCCGAGCAGGCAGGGCTGAGTTGGGCCGGCCACTTGGGGTGGGGCGGCTGCAGGAGGAGGGGGCCCTGGGCGGGCCACTCACTTTGATGTTCCGGACCACGGCGCTCAGGCCGGGCCCTGCAGCTGGCTGGGCCAGATGGTGGCCTCCACTGAGCGCGGCCGCAGCTGCAGGGTCTTTGCTGGGGGCCTAGGGCCAGGAGAAGGAGGGAGACGTGACATTAGATGCCCCCCACTCGGCCAGGGTGGACAGAAAGGGAGTGAAAGATGGAGAACAGATAAAAAGGGAACACCCCTTTTACCTGGCTGGACTCTGCTGCTCAGTCAGCCGGGTGCCCCCAAACCCAGCAGACCCTCTGCCTCCCGCACTGCTCTCACTCTTAGTCTATGAGAACAAGCCACGGCAGGGGCTGATGCCCAGATCCTTCCAAACAAGCTGGCCCAGCCTCCCAGAGCTCCCAGGAAAGGGCCAAGAGACCCTCTTTTCAGGGCTTGACTCAGAACTTGGGCCTCCAGGCCCTGGCACCACCACAGAGCAGAGGCTGACCTGTGTAGCCTCTGGGGTTTTGGGCTCACCTGGCTAGTCTCCTCCTCCTTGCTGTCCAAGAACATCTTCTCCAGCGCCAGGAAGGTCAGGAAGCCAGCAATGACCCACAGTCCCAGTTGCTGTTGCTGCTGCAGGCTCTGCCCCTCACCACCTGCAGGGGGCAGCACTGACACACCAGGCCAAGCCAGGGCATAGAAGGGGGCTCCTTGGGATGGGACCTAGTCCAGGGCAGTGACAGGGGCAGGGTGCCAGGACTGGCTGGTGGGGCAGTTGGGCCCCAGGAACTCCCATAGGGACCAGGGCACTGGGACCAGGACAAGTTCCCTGCCAGACGTCCAGAACCCCCCCTCAGTCATTCTGCAGAGCAGGCAGGGCCTAGGCCATCCCTGGGCATGGGCACCAGTTCCCACCTATCGCCTGCCACCCTCCTGCCCCCGGCCTGTGGTCTCACTCACCAGGGCTGGCACTGTACGTGTAGGCCCACGCCTCGGGCAGCAGGTGGAGAAACACATTGCCCAGGAGTCCCCCCAAGGCGAAGCTGAGCAGCTGCTTCAGGCGCCGGGCCCCAGCTACAAGGCAGAGATGTGGGACCTGGGGGCTGGGGCACCAGAGCCCCTGGCCTGACCTCTGCCCCACCCAGCTCACTGGGCTCCTAGTGTGGTCCCAACCGGACTGCAAGTCTCCAGAAGGCTGCACATGGGCTGCTGGCCTTCCTGGGTCCCCAACCCTTCAGTCCCAGTAAGGGCTGGTGCCCAGCAGGAATACACCACGACCTGCGGGCCGACTGTGGAGCCACTACTGCTTCAGGGTTAAGAGACTGGGCTTCAGAGACTGACAGGTCCCAGCTCCCCAACCCACCAGCTGGTAACCTTGGGCAGATTACTTCTGGGACTCAATTTCATCATCTGTAAACTGGGGACAATTGTATCTATCTGACAGCGATCTTGTGTGAATTAAACCAGCGGTCCCCAACCTTTTTGGCAACAGGGACCGGTTTCGTGGAAAACGATTTTCCCACGGACGGGGGTGGTAATGCGAGCGAGGGGGAGCGGCAGATGAAGCTTCACTCGCTCGCCCACCGCTCACCTGCTGTGCGGCCCGAATTAAACAACAATACATATAGCAAGTGCTTATGAAGTGGGAATGTTTCTCTTCTCAGCCACTGTTACTCTCAGAAAAGTGGCAGAGATTTGAGGACTTGTGCAGACGTGCAACATCCAGAGTTAGAAGTGCCCTGAGGGGGCCTTTGGTTTGATAGACAAACTGAGGCCCAGAAGGAAGAGGCAGCTTGGTGGTGGGGTGGGGTCCCAGGGGGAAGCTGCTGCTTCCAGGCTGTGTGCCCTTGGGCTCCTCCAAGAACTTCTCTGTGCCTGTGCTTCCCCATTTGTAAAATAGAGCTAATAATCCAAGTCCTCCCTAGGTGGACCTCTCAGGGATGCTATGAGAGGGGCTGAACTGATACACAGGCCAAGACAGCAGAAGAGGGCCCTGTTCACAGCTGGGGCACCAGCCCTCAGCCCAGTGCCTGGCACAGTTGCGTTCATAACCATCTGTTGAATGAACAGTTCCTGGAGCCTGGCAGGCAGTACGAGCCCCTGGGGGACCCTCATTTCAAAGATTCCCGGGGCCTGCTCCAGACCTACTATGTCATACTCTTGGGTGGGGGTGACAGGCACCTGCGTTTTTAGCAGCTCCCCATCTGATCTTCTTTAGCTTTCATTATAGCATGTCACCTATGGACACGTGCGCAGCCAAGGAAGAGCCTTTGCCAGGCCTGCACCCACCTCCCAGCCCCCCTCTCCAGAGGCAGGCCAGCTACCAGCCTCTCGCGTGTTCTTGGGTGAGGCCGCCCCAGGGGCTCTGGGTCTGAGCGCCCTCTTGCACTGTGAGCAGGGACTGAAACGAGAGGCAGCGCGACGCCCAGCACTGGCTCGCGAACATGGAGTCCCGTCCCTGCACCGGGGCCGTCTCCTAAGTGCTATGCCGACGTTAGTTCATTTAATCGTCACAATAACACCTATGAGGTAGATACTATTATTATCCTCATGTTTAAGGTTGGGAGCTTAAGGCAGAGAGAAGTTAAGGAACTTGCCCAATACCACCCAACTGGTAAGTGGCAGAGCCAAGATTTGAACCCAGGCAGCCCAGCATCCGATTTCCAGCCTTGTTTCTTGCTTCCCAGTGAATGTTTGCTGACTTTCATCTTTCAGAATAAACAGATGCACAAACAAATGAACAAATGAGCACGGCGCACCCTGGCTCACTGGACCAAGGTGAGGAATTGTGCTGGGTCCCCACCCTCCACCACAGACACACTGCCACTCGGGACCAGAGACCCGGCTCTCCCAGGAAGAGCAGCAGCATGTTTCCCACGCCATCGGCTGCCCCTCGGTGCCAGAGGAGGGTCACTCACCTTCTGAGCGCAGCGTGGTCCCCATCTCCAAGGGAATGACGAGCAACGGGAAGACCCCGCTGAGCCCCACCATGAGTGAGCCCAGGAGGGAGCAGATCCACGTGTCCAGCCGCTCGCCACTCAGCAGGGCCCCCCAGGACTCGCTTTCCTTATTGTCCAGGCGACAGGCCGCTGCCACCCCCCGGCTCCGGAAGGCCTGCTGGGAACCCCCAGCCCCTCCCAGGAGCTCCAGGGCAAGAGCAGCGAGGAAGAGGAGCCTCTGTCCCGCCATACCACAACCAGGGCAGGGACATCCAGGCATGCCACGTGCTGAAAAACACAAAGGCCACTTACGTGTGCTGCCACCCTTGGCCGCACACCTGCTTAGGAAACGTGGCATCTTAACCCTCCCCCCACTCCCAGTGGCCACGGCACCTGCCCTCCTGCTTGCCTCCCCCACGGCCTCTGAGGATCCCAATGATGGGTGCACAGAGCAAAAGGGCTCTGCTCCGCCACACCCCACCCCCAAGGAGCACACATTTTTTCCTTGGGAGCCAGTTCCAGGCTGTGTGTCAGCCTGTCCGCCTGAGGCTAAACTTTCCTTAATGACAGGGTGAGGCGCTGGCTGGGTTCCCCTCAGACACCGGTAGGCCCGGCCCAGCTGGGTGTCTGGCTGCCAGGGGAGGCTTCGCTGCCAGGATGCGCCCCAGTGAGGACACCCCCAGGGATGGCGGCCAGCACAGTCTAGCTTGATGGGGCAATGTTAGGAGGTGCAGGTGGGGAAACCAAGCAGCTGAGCTAGTTCAAGACCATCAGGGCTTTTTCCTAGGAAATGAGTCCAATATCGCTGGGGCACGGAGACAGCCAGGAGGTGGGAACGAAGAGAGGATTCTTCAGCTAGGAGCTGCCTCACAGATGTGCAGAGCACAGGCTTTGAAGACCCGCCCTTGACTTTGTGCTCTGCATTTACAGCTGCTTGACTGCGGACAAGTCCCTAGAGCCCTTCTCTGAGCCTCAGTCTCCTCGTCTGTAGCAGGGAGATGAGTATTGCCTCCCTCACACAGTGGTGAAAATGAGATGAGCTTGCTAATTAGGTGAGCGTGCCTGGCACGGAGGAGGCACAGAGAACCCTCCTTATGTTGCGGGAGCCCAGGAGCACCAGGCAGCAAGAGTGTACCCAGCAGGCGGATCACAGGATCTGGATGTGAGTCGACCAAGACGGAAGTTCAACCTGGAAACTCAGGCATGAGGTTTAAATGTGGTCTGCCCTCCCTCATGCTGGCTGTGACCTTGAGCCAGTGATGTCCTTGCCTCAGTTTCCTCATCTGCTGATGGAGGTGGGAGGGAGGGAAAGCAGCTGGAAAAGATGCTCGGGTCTAGGACCTCCAGGCCTTAACGGGACCCTGATGAAACCCTCTGGGCTCCACTGGGGACCAAAGGCAGGACTGCGCCAGGCCGGACTTGGAGGCAGAGGTGGGTCAGGGGACAAGTTTGAGGACAGGAGAGGGGAGGGGACAAGTTTGGGACAGGAGAGGGGGTACCGAGAGAGTCGGAGAGCAGAGGGAAAGCAGAAGCAAGAGCGGGAGAGCCAAGAGTGAGAGAGCCAGAGACGGATGCGGAGGCGGAGAGAGAGGGAGAGATGGGGAGCGACGCGTGGGGAGACAGGGGAGAAGAGCCCAAGGAAGTTTAACTCCCGGGCTCTGGGCGAGAGGCCCAGGTCTGATCTGGACAGGCCGGGTCGGGGGCAAGGGGATCGGCAGAGTCCGTCTCGTCAGGGGCTCTGGCCCTGGGGGTGCGGCGGTCACTCACCGTGCGGCGGCGACGGCGGCGGAGGCGCTCCGGACGGCCCCGGCCATCCAGCTGCGGCACAGCGCCCCGCCCCGGCTCTGCCCCGCCCGGCCTGGCCGCCCGGCCCCCGGCCCGGAGCCACCCCCAGCGTGCGGCCACGTCACACGGGACCCGTCCGGAACCCGACGCACCGAACGCCGCGGGGTCGTGGGGAGCGGCGGTGGGAGAGCGCTTCCGCCTCGAGGCCATGGGGGACCCGGGAGGCTGGCGCACTTCCGCTCGGGCGGGCCCGGGACGGCAGGGAGGGTCGGGCGGAAGTGGGGGCCCCGCGGGCACCCAGCACAGTCCGGCTGCGCAGGGCGGAGACGGCGGCCCCGCGGTGACCGCGAGCAGTTGGGTGGCCGCGCTTGCGGGTCTGCCCGCCGCTTCCTCTCTCGGGAGGCAGTCCCAGCCGCGGCCGCACGGGGGCACGCTTTGCTGCCAGACTGCGCCGTCCCGGGACGGGGTCTGGGTAGGAGGATGGCTGCGGCGCTCCTGCTCTGAGTCAGCCCGGCCTGGCTCCTCCATGAGCAAGGGAAAGGGGAAGTGCCTGCCGCAGGGAGGGGCCTAGCCCCGGGAACCTCAGAAGAGGGAATTTTATTCTTACTCATCGAATTATTTTTATGCTTTGGTTTTTCACTGGGAACCTCAGGCCTTTGTCTCCAGGGCTTGTAACCCTTTGGAGTCCAGTGCACGGTGGCCTGACACTGCTGCTGGTAACCCCAAACCTGGGGGAGCAAAGGCTCTGTGCTTCCCTCACCTCAGACTGGGGCAGCAAACAATAGCATTATTTTAACTGCAATTTACTGAACACCTACGACGTGCCATTCACTCTGCGTGTATTGTCTCCCTGAATCCTCAGTCTGTCCCTTTGAGATGGATACTGTTAGCCCCGGGTCACACAGTAGCACAGATGGCAGAAGCACGATTCAAACCTGGGTGTCCTTGAACCCAGAGCATGTGATAGTACCTCTCACTTATAGGGTCATGGGAATCTGCCTTGGCATTTACACTTTGCATTCTTCTCAGCCAGGACCATATAATACTCAGCAAGGGGCACTTGGGTACTCACTGGGGCAGAGATTGTGACAGGGTGGGAGTCTCCCAGCCTCTGACCTTCATCTGCCTCATGCGGTAATTCCTTCGTCCGTCCTGTGTCACTCTCCCTTACCAGGGGCTCTGAGGGCACAGGGCTCTCACAGGCTGCACCAGTTGCCCGATTCCACCTCACACTCCAACATCTGCCCTTCCTAGACCCCCAACTCCTACCAGGCGGGATCAGCTTTCCTCTGAAAGCCCCGAGTCTGCCTCACCCGCCAGGCCCATAGGTCTACAGGGACGCCCTCCTGTTCTGCTCCCTGAGTTCTGAAGTGGAAGCCCTGTGCTGGTTACTTTGCAAAGGGAGGAAGACACTCAGGGATGCTGCTCAGGGATCTCTAAGGTGCGCCCCCCCATATATGCAAATCACTCCATCATATGCAAAGCACTTCACAATATACAAATGATTTCACAATAACACAGTCAGCATTCCTGCCTCTAGGAGCTGAGGGCTGCTGGCCACCAGCAAGGGGATGGGCAAGACCCAGCTAGAAACACCACTTGCTGCCTTCTCACTGTCCTTTCCTCTCACCTGGCCTGGAATTTCCACCATCAGACTCCCTAATGTATTGGGGGGTGGGGATGGGACTCTAGAGGATGACCATGAGCCGGGAGGGCCAAGTAGAAAGACAATGGGTGGACTAGTGTGTGGCCGTTAAAAACAGCGAATTAGGGGCTTCCCTGGTGGCGCAGTGGTTAAGAATCCACCTGCCAATTCAGGGAACGCGGGTTCGAGCCCTGGTCCGGGAAGACCCCACGTGCTGCGGAGCAACTTAAGCCCGTGCGCCACAACTACTGAGCCCGTGTGCTGCAACTACTGAAGCCTGTGTGCTCTAAGGCCCTGCATGCCACAATTACTGAGCCCATGCACCACAACTACTGAAGCCTGCACACCTAGAGCCTGTGCTCTACAAGAGAAGCCACCGAAGTGAGAAGCCCGCACACCGCAATGAAGAGTAGCCCCCGCTCACCGCAACTAGAGAAAGCCCATGCACAACAACGAAGACTCAACGCAGCCATAAATAAATAAATAAATAGGTAAATAAATAAATAAAAAGAAGAGTTCTGGAGGAAAAAACAAACAAAGAAAACCAGTGAATTAGATCTGCCAGGGGCTTCCAAATATGGACGAGTGAGAAAAGAGAGATGCAGAAATTTTTTTTACTATAACCCACTAGTTTAAAATAATAACAAAAAGGAAACTTGTATAGGTACATGTGATTATAGGTATTAGCATATATAAGTCCATTTATAATTGTGAGTAAATAAAAAATATAGAAGATCTCACGTCAGCATGGTAACATGGATTCCATGGTGGGGGGAGAAAAAAATATAAAAGGAAAATTTGTAAAAACATGTTAAAACATGTATATGATCATAATTTATGCAATTATGTAAAAAAAGTTGTAAAAGCTTTTATATATATCATATGTAAATTAAATATATGATATATATATTAATTAACTCCCTATGCCTCAGTTTCCTCATCTGTAAAATGGATTGCTATATCAAGTAGTTGTGTAAGTTGAATGAACACAGAAAACACTTAGAACAATGCCTGGCACATGGGAAGTTCTACTTAAGGATTAGATGTTATTATTATTTACATGTGTGGACACGTGTATAAAGAAAGTATTACAGTAATGAAAAGAACAGATAAAGACACAGGGTGGGGCCACCCCTCTCCACTCCTCGCTGAGCACAGATGAATGTTTTCCAACACATTTATCAACTAGTTTGAAGGCCTCAGGGTCTTCCTGGGTCGTGGCACTGGGCAGACAAACCACAGCAGGGCAGGGTGAGCCTGGACACTGCTTGGCTCTGCGTGGTTGGGAGGCGTCTGGGATTGGAGGGGCTGCAGACCAATTTCTCTGATCTGGCCTTTCTCAGCAACCAGGTCTCAGCCCCCTATTTCTAGAAGGTGGGACTGCTTCTGGGCCTACTGACCAGGTGACGGCTGTGAGACCAGCACAGCCTGGCGTTGGCATTGCCGATGCTCTGACAACCCTCCCCCTCCTCTGGCGGTCAAGGGCTAGAGGCTCTGGGATGGGCACATTACTTCTGCTTCCAGAGTATGGCCTTCTGTGAGAAAGCAGGCCTTCATCTTCTCAGGGCTTTCCGTGGGGGTCTGCAGGTAGACTTGTAGAAGGGCATCTGAGGCTCAGGGTGCCCAAGGTCGCCCTGAGGAGGTGAGGCAGAGCTGAGTGCCCACCCAGGGCCCTGCTGCTTTTACTGTGGCCTCCAGCTCTGCCTCTCCAAACTGGATCTGCCCCTCTGGAACCCCTGACCCTAACGCTCTCTCAACTTGTTCTTCTCAGGGCGGCCTTAGCTCCCTCGTGAGTTCCTGGGGTGCTTTCTCCCCTGAATTTCCAGCCCTGGCCTGATGATGCCCCCGTGACTCCACAGCAGCCCCTTTCCCCCACCCTCAGCAACTCTTCCTTGGGCAGCCCAGCCTCACTGCTTTCTGTCCAGCCTGTCTTTACAACCCCCTTTGTAACTCCCACCCTACCCCTGGCAGGCCTGGCCTGTTCGTCCCCTTCCGCCGTCTCTCTCTGTCGATTGAAATCCTGCCCGTTTACAAGGCCGCTCCCTCTCTGAAGCCTTCTGGGTCTGTCCAGGCCCTCAGTATCGTGTCTTTGGAGCCCTGAGCCCTGTACCCTGAACACAATGGGACTTCTTCACCCTCCCAACCCCCATTCCCGCTGTGGGCTTCTGGAAAGAAAGACAAGCTCTTGCCTATACCCTGAATAGAAGTCTGTCCGAATGAATTTAATATCTCCCTTTCCCCTCTCCTGCCTCAGGAGCACAAAGTGGGGTGAAATTCCTGTGCGCCGTGCACAGTAATCTGAGCCTTCGCAGGGCTTTATTTAATGTATGTTTATTCATAGATTTGCTTACTTGTTACCCCTTCCCCATCCCATCTCACTGCTTCCTTCTTGGGAGAATCAGAGTGTTAACAGTCCTTTTTTTCCCCTAAGAAACATAACAGACAATATTCTGTCCAGTTTGGCCTTTCTTTTTAAATAAGGAAAAAAGCTCTTTTAAGGTTTTCTTTTACGTTATTCAGTGATGTTTACAATTGTTCTCATATAGGTCCTGCATAACTCTTAATAAGTTTACTTTTAGGTATTTTACATTTTGTGGGTATTTAAAAGAACATATTTCCCATTATGTTTTAAATGTAGTGCACAGGAAGGCAAATTATTTTTATGTATCCCTTTGATACCTGGTAAGCCAACTACATTTTCTTACTGGTTCTAATCATTTCTCAGTATTACTGTTGTGTCTTTTAGGTGGGTAATCACGTCAGCTCCTAATAACAAAAGTATGAAAAGGAAGGAACCAACATTGTTTTTTATAGAGGTATGGTTTGGCTTGGTTTTGAACTTCATAGGAAGTATCTGTCTTCTGGGACTGGCTTTTTCACTCAACGATACGGGTACTAAGGTTCATTCATGATACGGGGTGAAACTGGTTCATGTGCTTGCACTACTGAACGATGTGCCACTGTGTGAGTGAATCCTCTGTAATTTATTTCCCCATTCTCTTGTCCGTGGGCATTTGGGTTATTCTCTAGATTTTTGCTGTTCAGAACAGTGCAGCTTTGAATGTTCTCGTTTCTGTCTCGGAGCACATGCCCAAGTTTCTCTTGATTTTAAGCCTAGAGGGGGATCTGCTTATAAGATAAGGCCAGATTGTTTTCCCCAGAGGCTGTAGGGAGTTGCACTCTGACTAACAACACACTGGAGATTCCGTGGCGCCACCTCTTCTCCAGCACTTGGTGCTGTCAGACTCGTTCATTTTTGCCCGTCAGACGGTATAAAATAGCATCTTATTGGGGCCTTCATTTGCATTTCCCTTATCACCAATGAGCTTGTGCATCCCTTACGCGTTCATTGGACAACTGCGTTTTCTTCTTCTGTAAAAAGGCCTGTTCACGTCTTTCATCTATTTTTCTGTTGGATTACTTGTTTTCTGTTTTTTCCCATGGATTTCCAAGAGTCCTTTATGTGTTTTTGATGTTTATCCATTGCGGGTTGTACGTGGCAGACGTCAGACGTCTCACATCTCCTCCAGTTTGTGGCTTGCATTTCACTTTCTCAAAGGTGTCTCCACTTCTCTCTTCCCTCCCACGCTTGGGCCTGGGACGCTAGTGCGCGTGTGTGTGGATGGGGGGTGTCGCGCCCCTCAGAACGCCGTGCAGAGCAACTCCACCGCTCCTCCTGTTCCTCGGGGCTTTAAGGGACCCTCGTCTCCCTCCCAGATTTGGCTGAGGCGGCCTGGATGGGAAGCCCCTGTCTGGTCTGCTTGGGGTGGGCACGCCGCAGCAGGGAGGGCCTCGCTGCGATGGTGCCCCCCCCCCCAGGAGTTATTTATCACTTCCGGCTCCTCACCTGGGGGCCGGGCGCCTCTCTGCTCCGCTGGGCAGCAGCCCGCGGCAGCTCGGGCGCTCCCTGGGGGCGGGCGGCCTCGGGGGGAGGGGCGCTCCGGGCCGGCCCCTCCGGAGGCGGAGGCGGGGGCCAGGCCTGCGGCGGGGGCTGGGATGGGGGGCGGAAGCTGCCCGAGCAGATAAGGGCCGAGGTCGGTCCTGCGGTGAGACTGTGCGGGACGCTGCCTCCGCCGAGCCCGCCCCCGCACCCTCTGGTCCCAGCTCCCCGAGCCACGGTCGGCGCAGCGGCCCCCTCCCTGCAACCCGGGGCTCGGCATCCTGGGCGTTGATCCCAGAGAGCAGTGAGAGATGGTGCTCCGGCCTGCTCGTTCCGTTCCAAACCTCAGTCATCGCAGCTGGAACATGGGGGTAGGAGTCTCCAGTTACCCCCCAGGGCCGTTAGGGATGGAACAGGTGCAGGCTGGTGAAATCCCTCTGTAGATGTGGGCCTTTTGTAAAGGATGGGTACCCTGAGTTCCTCGCATTGCCCCTGCTGTACCCGCTGACTCTCCAGGCTTCATCCCCGTTGTATAGATGGGAAATTGGGGGACTTGCCTTAAGTCACAGAGCCAGCCAGCAGGAAGCAAGTGGGGAGGGGAATGGAACTCCACAATCTGGGGGCCCTCTTTAAGAAAAAGATTACAAAATCACAAATACAAATTTGCTGAGGCCTCTCCCAGGGCCTTGGAAGAGGCCCAAGTAAGTGAGAAGCGCAAGTCCAACTTCTTGGTTTCCCGGCCTCACCCTGCAGGCCCCCTGGAAGGGCTTACACCCCTCCTCCAGGAGACGGTCAGACACCAACACAGTTGCAGGGTAGGTTCAAGATAGTACAGCAGGGGCCTGGAGGAGTCCGCACTGCAGCTGGGCCCAACCCCTTGCATATGCCTAGGCAGCCCTCCGGCCAGCCCAACCCAACAGCAAGAGCAGTCAGGCATTTTGGGACTGCGCCACCGCTGGGCAGGGCCAAGCCCTCGAGCACCAGCCAGTCAAAGTTTACTTGCCACTCAGGGCCTCTGACCCTGTGGGCTGGCAGTGGTAGGGAAAATTCCTAGGAAAAAAGGAAGGGGGAACCTGCCCGAGGCAGTGTAAGTGCATCTGACTTGGAGTCACATGGGACTGAGGTTTAAGCCACTGCAAGGCCATGTGACCTTGGGAAGACTCCTTCATTTGGGTGTCTTCATCTGTAAAATGGGAGTAATAATAGTACCTACTTGTCAGCGCTGTAATGAGGCTTAAATGAGGCCATGCATGACGAAGCTTGGCTTTTAGAAGCAAATTTCCCTTCTGTGAAACCTCCAGGTCAGGAGAGGCATCTTTCTCTCCATATTAGGATTAAGTCACTTACCCAGGGGGTGGTCTCTTGATGGCAAAGTTGAGATTTAAACCCATGAATGTCTGGCAGCAATGCCCTGGTTCTAACCATCAGGGAACACTGCCCCCTGGGGCCTGTCTCCCCCGGGAGTTAAGTGCCACTGCTAGGTGTGCATGTCCAGGGCAGGGAGCCAAGGGCAGCCTTTGAGTCAGGAGGTTGCTCACCTTTCTGGATTTTATAATCTCTTTGCTCTCATGGGCATCTGAGGCTGGAATTTTTCTAACTCTGGCATCCTACAACCTGGACCAGGAGAAGCAGGAGACTCTGGTGATGGAGACAGGGCAGGGGAGCTGGGAATAGGCCATGACCATGAGCCTGGGCAGCAGTGGCATCCCAAAGGACTCAAAGTCTTCTTCCAAACAAAGAGGCGCTGCTTTGCCTCATGGTTTGCATAGGATTTCTCCTGGGTTGGTGGACAAGAGAACTGAGTTCTCAGCTCAGAGCTGCCCCTCTCTAGCCAGCTGACCCCACACCAGTCACTCCTCCCCTCTGAGCCTCGGTTTCCTCGTCTGTGAAATGGGGATAAGAATACCTGCAGCTGCGAGGATTACAATATGTTGCGTACGTAGAGTGCCTAGTAAATGTTACTAGTTGTTAAAACAGGCGGTCTGAGGATGGAAGAGGGTGTCTTGGGAGGGCAGGAAGTATGCAAGCAGAAGTGGGGAGTCCTGCCAGGGCAGGAGTTTGGGCTTCTAAGGTCTCTGTCTCACAGATGGAGTGCCTTGGGGTAGGGCTGGGAACCCCAGCGCCGGTACTCTCCCAGATCAGGACAGGTCAGAGAGAGGTCAGGGGCTCTGGGGGTGCAGAGAAGAGCAGGGAGCAAAGGTTCTCAAGCAGGTGAAAGGGAAAGGAGGGAGGAAGTGGGGGCTTCTGGGAGGAGACTGGAGTGGCGGTCGCTGTGTGATGCCGGCCACACAATCACCCCGAGGCCCCGTTCCATGACCTCCTTTGTCCCTCATTGCAGACTTTCAAATTAGGCATTTCCCACATGGGGAAACCGAGGCTCAGAGAGGTGAGATCACTTGCCCAGGGTCACACACTGCAGGCTCCCCAATCTGTCTGGCTCTGCAGCCTGGACTCCAACAGTCACAGCCACTTTCTTATCTCATCTGCCTGACAAGGTTGTGAGTGAAGCAGCATGATCTCAGAGGCTCAAAGGGATCCCAGACCCTGCCGCTGTTTCCCAGGAGCCCCAAGCTCTAGGCTGGCAGCTGTGCAGGAGACATCACCAGGAGACCCGGGACAGGGGCCCAGGAGGATTTGCTCACGGTGAGAGCAGAGAGCCCTGGAGTAAGGGAGCAAGCACGCCATCTCAGGAGGGTTCAAGTAGAGGCATCCTGTGTCTCCCCAGCAGCTGGGAATCTGGAGGCATGACTCATAATGGGGCCAAAGCTAGCCAAAATTTTTATGAAATTCCTTCTTTTTATCTTAAAAATTCATACAGATTTGTACCCTTTTAAATATGTGGGCTTCCCCCTCCCCTTTTCTTAAAATAAGTTTCCACTCTCAGTCTCTATCTGAGTGGACACTCCAGGAAGACATGGTGCCTCCACTGGCTGTGTGTATCTGTTGCCTGCACCGTGGACCCCATGCCCTGGGCCTCTGGTTTGGTTTGCGAAAGTGCAGGGACAGAGTTGAGGTCAAGGCCCTGCCTGTTTTCGGTCTAGGGCCCTCCCCACCTCTGCTCCACGCTCCTGCCTCTTGCTTTGGCTCTCCCATCTCCTCTCACAGAGGTTTGTCCATCCCAGTCCAACTCTCCCACTGGGTGTTCTCAGAATGTCTCACCCCCCTCTTCATGCCCTGAGGGTCCTTGTCCGGAGGGACACTACCCGTCTTCAGCCCTCTCTGCTGGCCAGTCTGACCCTTCACCTCCCCAGAGGAGTACTCGACTTGGGGAAGTTCCATGCCCATTTGGAAGAAACGGAGGTGCAGAGCTGAGAGAGGCTGGACCTCCAGGGTGCACAATGAGAAGGGCTGTTGGATGCCCACCGGGATCTCTGGGCAGGTGGGGTGCCTCAGCCTGGGGAGAGGGCACCAGATCTGGGCCCCAGCCAGGGATGCAGGAGGGAGGAGGGAAGGCCATGGGGTGCCGGGGGCTGCCGCCTGGCAGGTCCCTGTGCCCAGGGTAGGGAAGTTTCTTATTTCTCCTGCTCCGACTTCCCCCTTTGATTTATTATAGCTATGAAATGCTCTACTCTCTTCTCTTTTCCTTGCTGTCCCCGGGGCTGGAGGAGCACAGGCCTCCCAGTCATGGGGCCTTGGCCTTGTTGGACTCCCATCTCCTTCCAAAGGTTGAGCCTGGGGGGCCCAGAAGTGAGAGGTGAGTCAGGGCAGGCAGGGTGGGATGAGGAGGGGCCCCGACCCCCTAAAGGCTAGCCTGGGCAGGACCGCAGGGGCCGGCACAGTCTCGGTTGGGAAGGTCTGGGGCCGGGCAGAGGCTGTGGCAGGTGTGGACTTGACAGCAGACAGCTCCCTGGGGTTGTGGAGGTGGCAGGCTCTGGGCCAATGGCCTCTCAAGTCCTGGCAGGTCTGAGGGCTGCGCACAGAGTCCTCGAACGCTACCCACCAGGTCAGAGAAATGGCTTCTCTGCAACCCCTGACGCCATCTTCAGATTTAATGGTGGCCAGAGCAGGCCTGGCCCAGGTGCATCTGGGGACGGGGCTGACAACCCAAAGGAAGGCTTGAGGCCCCCGTGCCCAGACCTGGGGCTCCTCAAGACCACCGCTGGACCTCACCCCGTGGCCTAGTCCAGGCAGGTGAGGGCTGGAGTCTGTCTGTCCGGCCCCTTGGCGGACCTGGCGGCCAGAGCGTTCCTGGCCGCTGCTGTGCAGCGCCTGTGGTAACGGGGCTGTTGGCGTTTTGCAATGGCCGGGGGTGGGGAGGCTGCACACACATGCTTCCTGTGGTGACTGGGCGCTTCCTGTTTTCTCAGGCGCCGGACTTGCTACTGCCGATGTGGAAACAGGGGCAGCTGCAGCCCGGGTGGCTCCAGGTCGGGCGCCCCGACCCTGCCCAGAGGGGCCTAAGTGGGCCCATCACCCCAGGCCCCGACCCAGGGCAGTGGATGGCCCGAGTTAACCCCCCACTGCAGGCCCCCATCCTTCCTGTCCCCAACAGCTTCCGCCAAGAGGAAGGGGCCAGGCAGGGCTATCGCTCAAGGCTGAGCAGGTGGTCTAGGAGGTCAGAGGTCCAAGGGTGGGAGCTCTGGTCTCAGCTCTGTCCTTTGCTCACTGAGTGCCTTTGGCCATCCCTGACCTGATCCAGGCCTTGATTTCCTCTTTTACGTGGTGACCATGGCACCCATCATCTAAAATCCCTCACCCATTTCTGCCCCAGTTCTGACCTCCCTTGATTTTTCCATCCCAACAGCCTCAGCTTTGGGGGCAGGGTGAGCACTGAGGCTGGGACCCTCAGAGGGGGGCTTGGCATAGGTCTTGACAGAGAGGGGCTTGGAGAGACTGGGGAGAGGGAAAGGCACGCCAGGTGGGGGAACCAGACTTAGAAGAAGGCATGGAGGTGGGAAGGCCGGGACTGGGTTTGGGAGATGGGGTGTTGATGGGACAGACGGAGAGTGGTAGGCGACAAGGTTGATCTGGAAGGATTCAAAGCAGGAGAAAGATTTTAGGATCCTCTTTATTCCTGAAAACGTTAAGAAAGTGTCTGATACCCCCTCACATTCTTCCTCAGAAGAAAGGCAAGGGGGGTGGGGGGCAGGGCCAGCCCTTCCCAGGCATTCACCAAGGAGATGGGTGCCCATGTGTTGTGGTGCAAGGGCCTCAGGAGGGATCTGAACCTTTCTCCAGGTGTCAGGTGCCTGGAGTTCCACCATCAGGGCCAGGCCTTAGGATTTGGCATTGCCCTGTTCCCGAACATGTTTTGTTTTGTTTTTAAGCTGCTATTGCAAGAAGGGGAGGGGAGATGACTTGGCTTCTTGTTGAGTTTGTGGACAGCATCTGACCTCTGGAAGAAGAGTTTCTTTGCAGGAAGGCCAAGGCCTGAGCCCGCTGGGGACTGACCAGTCCACGGACCCAGTTCAGCCACACGCTTGGCCCAGGAGGTTCTGAGGTGCCCACTTCACAAGTGGCCCCTCCTAAATCTCTAGGCCTTCCCATCATGGACAGCCAAGGGCTGGTTCCAGCCAAGGAGGCCTTGAGGAGCCTGAGACCCTGAGGCCCAGGCTGAGGGGCCATCAGGCCAGCCTGGCCCCCACCATCCTGTCCCCTGCCTCGGTGCCTTGGGTCAGCCTAAGTGCTGAGTTGGCGGCTCAGCAGCTGCTTCTGCCCACGGAGGCCCAGTTATAAATAAGCCCAATGTGGCCAAGTCATCAAGTTCTGTCCCAGCTGCATTACCTCAGTGACCACAGGTTGGGGCTGCCCAGAACCAGGCCCACCAGAACCTGCCTGCCCAGGCCAAAGGCTGGGCCAGCCTTGATGCCTGCAGGGGTCCTCAAATCCAGGGTTGGGGTGTCTGCAGCTACTCAGACCTGGACCGCCCTGGACACGGGCCACGGAAGGGGCAGGGCCCATCCCGCCTGCCCAGAGCCAGCTATTTACAAACCGAAACCGGGAGAAGTGAAGCGGCTGCGGCCAAAGTGGCTCCAGGCCCCCAGCCCCCAGTCCCGCTCCATCCCCGGCAGGCCCATCCCCCCTCCTCATGGCTTCCTCTTTCCTTCCCCACACAGCTCCCCGACCTCCCACTGCCCGGCCAGGTCTCTCTGGACAACCTGCCAGTACTTCATGGTGACCCCCGGCCCCATGGCCACTTGCCTGGGGGGGATCCCTTCTACTACTCACCCCCAAGACCCCATCAGTCTGGGCTCCTAGTAGCAGCCTCCTCCCACCCGGGCCCAGCCCACCGTGGCCTGCCCAAAGCACATTCCCACAGTTCTCAGTTCCCCTTCATGGCTGGAAAAGCTCCAGCACCAATGGCCACCGTGACGCTGCCCGGCCCTGCCTGAGCGTAGCTTCTCCAGGGGACCTTGACCGTCAAGGGGGCGCCAAGTAATCTGGGGAGCTGTGGTGGAACTTGGGGCACCTGGGGCCTTAAGGGGGCACGTTTCTGGGCAGGAGGCTCCAGCCATCACTCTCTTTGAGTTCGGTTTCGGCCCACTCATCCGGCTGGCGTGGGTCACAGGCCCTTGTGCAGGTCAGAATTGAGCTCAGACAGACGGACACTGGGCCCGAGACCACGGCACACGCTGCTTAGGAAGTGGCAGGCAGGATGGTGCCGTAGCAGGGGCCTGTTCCAGGGAGAGACAACAGACAACATAAGTAATACTCACTTCTAATAATAGGCGAACTCCCTCACGATGGTGCAGAGGATGGCAGTTCTTTCTGTCCCCCGAACAAGCCTGTCCCATTATCTCCATCATAAATGGACATGGGCTCACAGGGGAAGTCACGTGTCCCAGGCTACACAGCTAGAAAGTGTCTGGACTGAGATTCAAGATTTCCTGACATCCAGTCCCCTTCTGTCTCCGTCTGACTGCCCCTTGCTTCATCTTGTCCCTCAGTCTCCTGCCCGGGAGGACAGGAGTTTCCCAGCACTGTGACAAGGCAGGAGCGGGGCTGGCCCGAAGCTTGAGGGGGAAGCAGGCCTTGGACAGCAGAGTTACCAGATGGGGTTCGTCAGTGCCCAGTGCCGCCTTCCCTGCCCCATTCCTTGCCTCCCACTAAGTCCCAGCTGAGGCACAGCCCTAGTCCCCCTCAGCCGCAGTCAGCTGGCTGCCTTTCACCTAACTTCTCTGAGCCTCAGAATCCTCTTCTGTGACTTGTCATCCCACAAACACAGAGCACCTACTCGATGCCAGCCCTAGGCTGGGTGCAAGAAATCTCTAGAACTAGGCTATGGCCCCTGTTCACAGTCGTGTGGAGAAGGCAGATGAGTTACAAGATCCTGAGTACTCCAAGAGGGAAACTGCAGCTGTGAGACACCAAGAACAAGTGATGAGTCCTTCCTGGGGTGAGGAGGGTGCCATTGGGGTGGGATAGGAAAGAGTTCCCCAGCAAAAGCCGGGGGACTGGCTCTCCATGCTGAGTCACACCCCTGTGCCTTGGCTCTGGTAGTTACCATGGTCCGAGTCAAGTGCCCTTCTTCCCTCTGGGCCCGATAAACTCCTATCCATCTGTCAGGACCCATGGACACACCACAGCATGACCAGGCCTGGCCTGGCCTGATGGCTCCCCACCTCCCTCTTCCCACGCAGGACCTGAGCACACCCGGAGGTCAGGCCTCCTCAGTCACTATGCCCTCACCAGCCCCACCCAGGCAGGCATCTGCTCCCGGGCTCAAGCCCCCACCGTCCTCTGCTCCGAAAAGCACCGTTTCCCTTTTCTGGGTGACCACACGCCATACACAGGGAATTTCCATCTCAGCCTGTGGAGCCTCTGATTCACTCAGGCTCACTCAGGACTCCTTCCGGGTCCATGCCTCCTACTTCTGCACCTTGGGCTGCCCCTCACACCCACCCGGGACCCCTAGGCAGCTTCAAACTAATCTTGGCCTCCACAACCTGGAAATCAAGTCAGCCCCTCACTCACCGGCCCCCTCAGGGCCCTCCCACTCCCATCCTATGCACAGAGACCCCTGCTCCTGGCACACACGCTGGGGTAGCTTTGGGCTGAGAGCACAGGCTTTGGAGTAAGATAAGCCTGGTCCAACCCTGATTTTGGCCCTTTCTGCTTTGTGACCTGGAGCAGTTTAAGTGTATGCTCTGAGCCCCATTTCTCATCTATAAAATTGAGGTGATTCCTGTCCCATAGCTTTGTTGTAAAGATCCAGTGTGCTGGGCCCATGATGGGAGCTCAATAATGATTACTTTTCCTTCTTTGAAAAGGCCCCCTCATCCTATCACAAGGTCCCTACTCCGGACCTGGGCCCCCTTTCTCTGGCTGGCTTTCCCCTCCCGAGAGCTGGTTGCTCAGGCAGGGAGAAGGAGAGAAGTATGGGCAGAGCAAAGGAGGGCGAGATGCTGCTGTCTCAAGGCTCTCCTCCGCCAGCTTCTCGACTCCTCACATTTCTCAGTTTTTCCAAGGAGGCTTTGGAGAGGCCAGGAGGCAGGAGCTCCAAGGAGCTGAGGGCTGCAGAGCTCCTGAGCTCTCGGGGACAGGGTCGAGCCTTCCTCCTCCCGAGGAATGCTGGGTGTGCACGTCACACACGAACATCTCACGTGTGGGCTCCTCTAATTCTCACGGCCCGGTGAGGTGCGTCCTGTTATTGCCCCCATTTTACAGATGAGGACACCGAGGCTCTGAGAAGTGACTTGCCCTCAGCCACGCAGCAAACAAAGGGCAGGGGTAGGATCCGAGTCAAGGTCTCTGGAGCCATACTCCTAAACTCCACAAGGCTCAGTAAGCATTTGTGGAGGCCGACGAGGGAAACGTGGACTAACTGAAACCCTACTGTATACAAAGGGAAGACTGACACAGATTGTCTCTTTCTGCCCTCTGTACAATGCTGCGGTCTGGGTCTCGTTGGCCCCTCTACAGAACTGAGGCATCTGAGCTTCGGGGAGGGGAAGGAGCTTGCCCAGAGGTCACACAGCCAATCGTAAGGAAGGATCCAGGGGTACCTAGATAGAAGAGGACGGTGTCAGGGGCTTCACAGAAGAGGGGGCCTGGAGGGGGAAAGTGGCTCCTGTCCTCAGTGAGTGAGCCGGCAGTGGGGGGGGTGATGCCCGTGGTGAGCAGGAGGAAGTCGCTGTGGGTGGCGGTGGGTTTGAGGTGCCGGAGGCTGAGTGATGTGGCCGGGAGGTGAGCTCCCCGTCTGCAGGTCTGGTCAGCAGGAGACAAGGGTCTGGTGGGGGGGGGGGGGCAGCAATGGGATTCAGGGCACGCAGGAGGTCAGGCCGTTCTGGAAATCTGTGCCTACTGGCCACTGGGGCTGGGGAGTGGGGGGCAGGAGCTGGCGCAGAGTGCAAGGAGGGACTCAGCAAGGCTGGGGAGAGGTGGAGGTCAACAGGGAAGGGAGGATCTGGGGAGACAGCCTGGAGGAGGCGAGCCGTCAAAAATGGAGGGAGGTCTTAGGGTGTGGGAGCGGGTGGGACTGTGAGCAAAGGCCGTGAGACATTGAGAAAGAGGTTCTGGGAATGTTGAGTAGTGTCTTCTGGCTGGGGGTGGGGGTGGGGCTGGTCCACTTGGGGTGGCGGAGGGTGGAAATGCTGGCCGGACTCCTGGGTGCTGGGGGCTCCAGCACAGGCCTCAGAGCTTTGAACTTCAGCCTGTGTACAAGCCAGAGCCAAGGGCAATTTTTAGGTGGGGAAACACCCATGGGAGAAACTCGAGATAGAGGCAGCAGCGGAAGCCCATGTCCCAGGGCCACTCAGAGTGGCAGTTACCTCCCACCCCCTGGCCAGCTGTGTGTGTCCTTGGGCAGCCCCCTCTCCAGCTGAGCCACGTGACCTTTGCCATTAAAATGGCACTGATGGTAAATTCACAGGGTCATGGGAGGTGGGGTGAGTTAATGCTGGTTGACTGCATCACCTCAGCCGATGCTGGGCCTTTCGCCGTGCCTCGTCCTGGCTCGCGGCACTTGGTGAGAGCCTGCGGTGGATACCACGGGGTCTCCAGCAGACCTGGTTTAAGCCTCGCCTGTCCCTCGATTGGCTGAATCATGGGCCCCTTCCGATCCTCGGTTTCCTTAACTGTACCACAGGGATGATAACGGCCCCAACTTCAGATCTGAATAAGAAAATGAACTCTGCAGTGGTGGTCCTGTTTTCCCGGAATCAAAACCAAATTCCACACAACACACAACGTCCCCCAGCGCCCTACCTGACCAGACCCTCACCTCCCTCACCTCCTACCACTGGCTCTTTTCACACTGGCCCCTTGCTGGTTCCCCTGCCTGGAGCTCTTCTCCCAGGTGTCTGCTTGGCTGGCTCCTTCACTTGTTCCCAGGGTTTGTTCAGGTGTCCCCTTCCTGCCCTTCCTGCCCTCTTCACTCTGCACACGGCCTCCCCTTCCCCAGCTGGCTCATCCTCTTTCGTATAGCGTTTGCCGCCTTCTCACCTACTCTGCATATCCCCTGCCTTCCCTGCTCCAGAACAAGCCCCAGGAGGACAGGGATTTTTGCCTGTTTTGTCACCTGGCCCGTAGAGGCCCTGAGCAAATATTTGTTGGATGTCCTAATGCACTAAAGAGCCAGCCCAGCGCTCTGACCAGAGCTCGAGGAGCTCGGAGGGGCCCAAGGAGCCTCTCCCAGTGTCTCAACTGTGAGAGGAAGTTGCAAGACGGCCATTTCTGTACACGGGCTCAGCTTTTTTTGGTCAACTTGCCCAGCTCGTGCTCTGAGGCCTGAGTTTTCCCACACGTCCCGTCAAGCCCCATGGGGACCGGTGGCTAGGAAGCGGGGGTGAGGGGAATGCTGTTCCCTCCTCTTAGAGCTCTTTGGGCTGAGGTTGAGGGGTCTGTGTGTGGAGGGGTCATGTCCCCCAGGTGGACACAGCTTCGAGGACACAGTGCCCATGTTTCCTGTTGCCCATCTACCCTGTGACTGCAATAGCACCCAGCCTACCCCATCAGCCACCCAGCCCAGTGGGGGCAAAGGGCACCTGGTGCTCCACCACCCAGGCCTGCCTGACCTCCCAGTCACTCTGCAGGGCCAGCCCTACATGGTCACCCACTCGTCCAGTGGGGTGGGGAACAACACTGTCATGTGCTGCTGGTAGGAGGGTAAAGTCGATACAACTTTTATCCAGGGCAACGTGACAATATCTCTATATTTATCTACCTATCTACTTCAAAGTTTCAAATGCCGTACAGGACTTCCCTGGTGGCACAGTGGTTAAGAATCCGCCTGTCAATGCGGGGGACATGGGTTCGAGCCCTGGTCCGGGAAGATCCCACATGCCGCGGAGCAGCTAAGCCCATGCGCCACAACTACTGAACCTGTGAGCCACAACTACTGAAACCCGTGCGCCTAGAGCCCGTGCTTGGCAACAGGAGAAGCCACCGCCATGAGAAGCCCGTGCACCGGAACGAAGAGTAGCCCCTGCTCGCCGAAACTAGAGAAAGCCTGAGTGCAGCAATGAAGACCCAGTGCAGCCAAAAATAAATAAATAAAATTTTAAAAATGCAGTACACAAAACTAATACAGTATTATATGCCATTTATACCTCAATTTTTAAAACTATGTCTCCTTTGACATTAAAAGAGGTGAGTCAAAAATTTCTGTGACCCGGCTCAGCCAAATAAATGAATAAATAATTTTAAAAATTCTGTGTATACTTCAATAAAAAAATAAAAATTTTAAAATTAAAAAAGTTTCCTGCACCTACATTAGAGCATCTAAATAATTATCTGGTCTCTTTCCCAATGAGTTAAGATCGAAAGCTATGCCATTTTCTTTTTTTTTTCCTCTGTGTATTTGTGCTTTTTTTGAATTTTATTTATTTATTTTTTATACAGCACGTTCTTATTAGTTATCTATTTTACACATATTGGTGTATATATGTCAATCCCAATCTCCCAATTCATCCGCCATTCTCCATATTACTTATAATTGAAGAATTTTTTATTTCTATTTTAGGTAACTTCTGATCCTATTCATTAGTGTCTACAGGGAGGTGCACAAGGTTTTTGACTCAGCCTGCATTTGGTTGTGGTGATTTTCTTTTCACTATCACTCTCTTAATAGTCAAAATTAGACTTGGAAAATTAAAGATAGAGAAAGAATTTATAGCATTTTACTTTCTTTCCCTTTGAACATTTACTTCTGCAGAAGTAGGACTTTCTCCTACATAGTTTTCATTTAAGGCGGAAAAATATATTTTGTTCTTTACTGTTGCAGGATGTTTTCTAGAAGCAAGCAAACGTGAAAGCATGAGAACTGCCACCTGGAGCCAGCACTACAGTCCATCCAGCCCAGCAAACGACCTTTAACTCAAATCTTCCCCCAACTATTCCAGTGGACACTCCCCTCTAGTGTCCCTGGAAAAAAAAAACAAAACACAAAACCACTGCTCTTTGACCCAGTATTTCAACTTTGGGGAATTTATCCTAGACATACACTTGCATATGTGTAAGTTAACAAATTTTATCTATTGCAGTATTATTTGTAATAGCAAAAGACTGGAAACAACCTGAATGTCCATCAGTAAGAGACTGGTTAAGTAACTTTTTAAACAATGGAATACTATACAGCAATGAAAACAGACCGTGACTACATGCAACAACATAGTGAGAAAGAAGAAGTGGGATACAAAAGAACATTTACACTATGATTCTCTTTGTATAAAGATTAAAATCTGTTAAGGTAAAAACTAAACTATATTGTTAAAGGTGTTTACATAAGTTGGAAAACTATAAAGAAAATGAGGACATAATTACTGAAAAAGTTAAGATAGTGTTACTTCTAGAGAGAGGGAAGGGATTTGGGGGATACTTCTGTAGTGCTGGCAACGTTTTATTTTTTGACCTGGTTGGTGGTTACATAAGTGTTCACTTTATAATTATGTTTTAAACTGTACATAAGTGGTTCATGCAGTCTTTTGTATGAATGAGGTCTCTCATGATGTTAAACTATCACAGTCCATCCAAACAGTGGAATACTATATAGTCATTAAAAAGAACAAAACAGCTCTATATGCATGGACATGGGATGGATTTAGGGGGAAAAAACAACCAAAGTGAAGTGCAATGTGTTTAGTATGCTACTTTCTGGGTGAAATTTAAAAAAGACTATGTCTGCCTCTATGTCTTTGTCTGCTTAGACTATCTCTAGAAAAATACCCAAGAATCAGGTAACAGGGAACTGGACAGTTGTTTCCCTTTTTGTACCTTATGGATTTCATACCATGTGTATATATTACCTATTCAAAAAATAAAGTAATTTAAAAAACTGTTTCACTTCTCATTCCCTGGAACACCTAAGATTTTTGGTCTGAAACCAATTTCTTGCCCACGAGAAATGCGAACCACAAGCCAACTTGATGCTCCTGGGGACCTCCAGCAAGTTGGGGACCCTCTCTGGTCCTGTTTCCTCTGCTGCAGAAGGAGGCCAGGCCTGTGCTCCCCTGAGGTCCTGTCGCTACCCAGTCCCTGCTGTCCTGTCTCCTCTCCCCTCCCTTATCCTCCCCTCCCACCACCCCCGCCCCATTCGCTCTTTCATTGCCTCACTTCTCTCTACTCCCTTCTTTGACTCTCTCCTTTTATTTTCCTTTCTATTCCTCTCCAGTTCTGGCTGCCTTTCCCCTCTCTGCCCTTCCTTGCTCTCCCCATATTTGGCTTCTCTTCCTCTGCCTCTTTCCCCTGCCCTAGGATCCAGCCCTTCCTAGAGCCCCAGAAAGCAGGTTCATGCCCCAGCTCTCCACTCACAGGTTGTGTGACCCTGGGCGAGTCACTGACCTCTTGGGCCTCAGTGTAACAGACGGTTGTCCTGGTTACGTGAGATCACAAGGGTGGAAGCACTCAGCACAGTGCTGGGCACTCAGAAAATAATTTCCCCCCCTTTTAAAAAATTTTTTAATTTTTAAAATGTTTTATTTTTGGCTGTGTTGGGTCTTCGTTGCTGCGCGTGGGTTTTCTCTAGTTGTGGTGAGCAGGGGTTACTCTTCATTGCGGTGCGCAGGCTTCTCAATGCAGTGCAGAGCATGGGCTCTAGGTGTGCGGACTTCTGGAGTTGTGGCACGCAGGCTCAGTAGTTGTGGTGCACAGGCCTAGCTGATCTACGGCATGTGGAATCTTCCCGGACCAGGGCTCGAACCCGTGTCCCCTGCATTGGCAGGCAGATTCTTAACCACTGTGCCACCAGGGAAGTCCCTGTTGCCCCTTTTTAAGGAGCTGTTAGCCGTGGGGTTGTGGATTTTCAAACCTTCTCGGCTCTGCTCAGAATTGCTTAGAATCTGGGTCCTACTATTCCAAAGGCTTAGGATAACATCAGTTCCCTAGGAATTGGAATCTCGGGAAGAGGCCTCTGGTGTACTTTGGGAGGAGGGGCAGTGGGAGGAAGGATGGGAAGGACTTGCTGTGTGAATGGACACAGGATGCTGGAGCTGCACAGAAAGTGGGAGTCGGTTCTGCCCATTTCCATAGATTTGGGGTCCTGGGCCTTTTATGGGTTTCCTTACCCAGGCCTCTTGGGCTTGACCAGACTTGGGACAGTGGAATCTCTTTCTTCTCCTGAGGCCCCTTGAGACGTAGGGCTCAGGAACACAGAGTCGACCTGGTCTGCTCCCTGTGTCCACGGAGGGCAGCACCACACTCCCTGCTTATAACCAGCAAAGGCTCCGCAGTCCCCCCTGGATACCCACCAGGCTCCTGGGCTTGGGACTGAAGGCTCTTTGCCTTCCTGCCCTGTCTTGCTGCCAGCCACAAGGAGGGCAGCGCACTGTTCCCTCGTTCTCTCCCAACTCCTTGCCTTTGCTCAGGCTGGTCCCTCAGCCGGACATGCTCTCTCCCTCACACGCTTTCCTACCTGTGGCCCTGACCTGATTAACTGTTCACTAATGCACCTGGTGCCTCTTGTGCCCCTGCCTCCCAGAAGGACCATGCCGTCTGCCACACATGTGTGTTCTCTCTGCAGGCCTGTGAGCTCCTGGAGGCCCAGGGCATGCTTCCTTCATGTCTGTGTCCCCTTGCCAGGCCAGCACATGGGAAACCCTCAATAAAAAGTTAGTGATTAGGGGCTTCCCTGGTGGCGCAGCGGTTAAGAATCCGCCTGCCAATGCAGGGGACAGGGGTTTGAGCCCTGGTCCGGGAAGATCCCACATGCTGCGGAGCAACTGAGCCCACGTGTCACAACTACCGAAGCCCACGCACCTAGAGCCCGCGCACAGCAACGAAGACCCAGTGCAGCCAAAAATAAATAAATAAATTAATTTTTTAAAAAAGATTAAATGAATGAATAAGTAGATAAATAAGCATATAAACGAAACAAACCAAGATAAGAAGAAATGAGTGAAAGAATGAATGAACACATCAAGCAAGACCTGGTTCTCATGCAGTAGAGCCATCCCCACACACAGCCAGTCAGCTGGGACTAGGCCTTCTTTTTCTTTTTTTTTTTAAATTAATTTATTTTATCTTTGGTTGTGTTGGGTCTTCGTTGCTGTGCGAGGGCTTTCTCTGGTTGTGGCGAGCGGGGGCTACTCTTCGTTGCAGTGCGCGGGCTTCTCATTGCGGTGGCTTCTCTTGTTGCGGAGCATGGGCTCTAGGCCCATGGGCTTCAGTAGTTGTGGCACGTGGGCTTCAGTAGTTGTGGCGTGTGGGCTCAGCAGTTGTCGCTCGCGGGCTCTAGAGCGCAGGCTCAGTAGTTGTGGCGCACGGGCCTAGTTGCTCTGTGGCATGTGGGATCTTCCCAGACCAGGGCTTGAACCAGTGTCCCCTGCATTGGCAGGCAGATTCTTAACCACTGTGCCACCAGGGAAGTCCCTAAGCCTTCTTGATGGGAAAGTGGGGACAGGGATGGAGTTGATGCCAAGTCAGCCCGCCTCTCCCCTCCTCTTGGGGAGGAACCTTGGCCAGGTACCTAGGGAGTCCTGAGGGCCAGTGATGTGGACCCCTTGGAGAGTCCCAAGTGTGGATGCAAAAAATCAGTGAAGATGTAGGTGAAATAGATCTAATGGTGAACCCAGACCTGTGAATCTCTGGTCTTTGCTGCAAGTAAAGAAACACTTGGGCGTCTGGGATTCCACTGACAGGAAGGAGGCTGGCTAGTCTTAGTGGGAAGGGGATATAAAGCAAAGGGTTAGACTACACAGGGGAGGAAACTGAATGCTCAAGAAGTTCTTCCCCAAGAGAAGAGGACTCACCAGAAATCAATGGATCAAAAAATGTCTCTGGGCTTCCCTGGTGGCGCAGTGGTTGAGAGTCCACCTGCCGATGCAGGGGACACGGGTTCGTGCCCCGGTCCGGGAAGATCCCACATGCCGCGGAGCGGCTAGGCCCGTGAGCCATGGCCGCTGAGCCTGCGCGTCCGGAGCCTGTGCTCCGCAACGGGAAAGGCCACAACAGTGAGAGGCCCACGTACCACAAAAAAAAAAAAAAAAATGTCTCTATTCATCCTTCTGCCCTCCAGACTAGATCAGGAATTCCCTGAAGGCAGGGATCTTGTCCAGTATCTTTCTCTTCTCCCAGCGCTCAGCATAAAGCCTGGAACTCAATTAATATTGGCAGGATACATGGATGGATGGATGGATGAATGGATGGATGGATAAGTGGATGGATGGATGGATGGATGGATGAGTGGATGGATGGATAGGTGGATGAAAAGGACCAATGGATGAAGAGATTGATAGCTGAACATCAAGTGGATAAACAGATGGAAATATGGGTGAATAACAGATGGATGGGCTGATATACGAACATATAGATGGCTACTTGGACAAGTAGATAAACAAATGGGTGGGTGGATGACAGACTAACAGATAAATGGATGAATGAATGCACAGTTGGATAAACTGGTAGACAAATGTATGACTGGCTTTGTGGGTGGATAGATGGATCGACAAACAGACAGATAAACAAATGGATGGGAAAATAGATGAATGGATGGACAGACAGGAAAAGTTTGTAAACTTGGAAGACTAGATTGATATTAAGGCATTGTTAAGGGGAGGGGACACTGAGAAATCTAGGCTGGGAGTAGAGCACCTAGGGATTTGGAAGAAGCGGTGGTCCTTAGGAAGCTGGGAGGGGAGGGTGTAAGAACGCTTCTGGTGGAAGGGAAGCTGGTGGAGGGAAGGGGAAAGCGGTGCTGTGCTGAGGACCCTGCCCGGGAGCCCAGCCCCAGGCTGGATAGAACCCAGGGGTTGTGCCACCTACGGGCACAGGAAGAGCCAGGCCTGGCACTCTGCTGGATCAGAGCCCTCAGACAACCAGGCTGACCCCAGAAAGCAGAGACCGCAAGAGGTCACCCACCCTTAACAGCTCTGACCCCAAGGAAGTGACTGTTGGCCACGTGGGGGTCTCAAGAGAAGCAGGTATCTGTGAGGTTAGGGGTTAGAGGTTAGAGAGCCTCTGCAGGGCCCGGGTGCAGGAAAGGCCTCCGGTGGTGGAGGCAGCCTTCCTCCCTCCCACTCTTCCTCCCACCCTAGCCCTCAAGGCCGCCCCTCACAGTCCCAGCTTCCTCTGGGCAGGGGGCCTGGCCCCCATGGCCTCCCAGGCCAGCCCCTGGAGCACCACCTGCCCCAGCCGGCCAGAGACTTCCTGTAGCGCAAGAGATTTATGCAAACGGGCTGGGGTGGTGATGTCACCCCAAGGGGACTATCTCCCAGCGGCAGGCCTTCGATAAAATCAGGAACTTGCGCTGGCCCTGCAATGTCAAGGGAGGGGGCTCACCCAGGGCTCCTGTAGCTCAAGGGGCAGGCCTGAGCCCTGTACCCGCCCTGAGTCCGTCCAGCCCCCGACGGGGCGCCCCATCCCCAGGGGCTCCGCACTGGCCCCCACCAAGGCAGGGGACCTGACCGGCTCGGAGCTCGGCTGGATGTTACAGGCGTGCAAAATGGAAGGGTTTCCCCTCGTCCCCCCTGTGAGTATTGGGGCTCCTCCGCCAGCCCAACCTGTGGCCCTCGGACGCCCACCCGCCTGCCTGCCAGCCCGCCGGCTGCCCTCCCACTATCAGTGGGAAGTTGGTGTTTCCTCCCTGGAGCTCCCGGCCTGAGACCCAGCAAGGGGGCCATTGGCTTTCTCGGAGCGTGTCCTGGCGGGCTGAGGGCTGAGCCCATGGTGGAGCTGTGATCGGTGGGGCCTGAACGGTTATTTATAGATGGGGCTCGGGTGGCAGGCCGGAGCTCCACGGCAGGGTGCAGGGCTGAGGATGGTGAGGGTGGCGGCAGGGAGGTGGTGGCGGAGGAAATGGGGAGACTGGTGTGGGGGGGGATGCCAGTCCCCAGGACAGTATGG